TGGGTGATATCCGGTCTGGATCCCGTACGTACGTTTTAACCCCGAATTATAAATTGGTCAAGGAGGTATATCTTAGAGTTCTTCTAGATATCCTTAATAATCATCATCAATTTTCCAAGTGGGTATATCTTAGAGTTCTTCTAGATATCCTTAACAATACAAATCATTTTTATAATCATCAATATATTCATTTTTTTAAACATGATTTAATCATTCGTAATTATTATTTTAATAATAATATTCATCAAAGTCTAATCATAAACAACATCAATAATAATCATCACAATATCAAATAACAATAGCGGCCTAGCATCGAGTGTTAACACCTTAGCTTACCGTCATACATCACATAAAATTTTATTTGTCAAAACATAATTTTTATTTTATCACATAAAATTTTATTTGTCAAAACATCATTTTTATTTTTAACAATTATTTTTATATTGATAATAATTAATTGGTATATATAAAAATAGGATTTTATAGCTTCAAAAATAGCATTTTTGGGCTTAAAAATGTTCATAACGGTCGACCGTTGGGTCCGAACGGTCGTCCGTTCCGTTGGAAAAATGCAGGGAATTGAAGGTTTACTATTCATCATCTTCAACCTCTAACCCATTTTTCTCAAGTTCCATTTTTGGTTACCAAACTTAAATTAAACTATATAGAAATGTTCTCCAAGGTTCGTAGATCATTTTAGAGGCATCAATTCGAAGTTTTAACAACAAGTTCAAGGTTTATGATTCATGGTTCTTCACATATGTCAAACACAAAACTCAACCAAATGACCATTTATGAACGTAGAAACGATCTATACGAACATTCTAATCACTAGATATATCTACGGGCTTACTTCGGAGTGAAACGATGATTCCGGCCGAAAAACGGTGAAACTTCCGGCGAACACCACGGCTTGCTCCGGCGACGGGAAGCTCTCCGGACAGCTTCTCTCAATTCTCTGAACTCTCCTCTAACTAATGGGATGATTTTGGTGGGGAGATGATGAAGAATGAATGACCCTATATATAAGCCTGGGAGAGGGAGTGGCGTGTTGGAGCTCTGTGATTTCCGATCGTCTAAGTGGAGGAGGCGGCTGCTTATATAATTCCTTCCAGTTTAGTTTGATTAAATTACCTCAATTGGGGTACACTTTTTGGTCCAATTTTATCCAAATTGAAATCCGTTCACACCGTTGCGATCAGACAGTCAAACTCTATTTAATGATATAATTTTTATATTTATTTGAAATACTTTTTCTGACAGCTTATTTTTGGGTGTTTACTTTGATAGAGTCAAAATTGAATTAATTGATATGTAATTAAAATTAGTCTCATATTCAACCAATATTATTAAATATAAATATTTAATTCAATAAGTCATTTTACAAAAGTTCACTTCTTTGACTTTTTCTCATTTTTATACAAATTACATATTTAAAATGTCATAACTGAACCTCTGTACATCAGATTTACTCATAAAATAAACCGTTGGATTCGTCTCTTCGAGACCTATCCATAAAAGTCAATCTTAACAAAAATCATTGACTCCAAAAATTCCTTCGTTTTTGGTCAAACATAGAAATAATATTTTTGTTGAGTCAAAATATTATTTCTAAAATACTTTTATTATAAAATAATATAACTTTTAGACCATATTTTGGGGCGTTACATTTCTCTCCCCCTTAAATAATTTC